AGGGTTGACATGTCGTGGGGTTGTTAACCAATGTCATAAAACAATATATGTACTGACTGTTTAATGAGAAACTATTTGTTCTGTAAACCTTCACCTAAAGTACAATAAAAAAAAAAATCAGTTAAGTTTCACTAAAAATAATTTTTTAGAAGATGCGTATTATTTTATGGGAGCCCTGGTGGGGCAGTGGTTAAGAGCTACGGCGAGCTATCGCTGCTGACCAAGAGGTCAGCAGTTCGAATCCACCAGCTGCTCCTTGGAAACTCTATGGAGCAGTTCTACTCTGTCCTTTAGGGTCGCTATGAGTCATAATCGACTCGACGGCAATGGGTTTTGGTTTTGGTTATCGTTTTATGAGTTAGGTGATATTCAATAGCGTATGTTTCTCTTCCTTTTCAGCATTATTACTAAAATTTACTTTTCTAAAAATAGGCTGAGGTTATTCTGCACTGTTTAGATTAATTTACAATATGCTATAATTAAGCACAGAAAACATTATATACATAAAATTTTAAAAATAAACTCTAATTCTTGTTTTTCAGTTGAAGCTTTATATCAAACTACATACCCAGAATATCTGCAGTACATTTATTTGGTGGCGCCAATATCTCTTATGATGTTAAACCCTATAGGGTTTATCTTCTGTGAAATCCAGAAGTGGAAAGACTCTCAAAATGCTTCTCAAAACAAAGTAAAAATTGTGGGACTTGGACTTCTGCGTGTATTACAGAATCCAATAGTATTTATGGTCTTCATTGGAATTGCCTTCAATTTTATTCTTGATAAAAAGGTGCCGGAATATATGGAAAATTTTCTTGATGGACTTGCGAATTCTTTTTCTGGATCAGCCCTATTTTATCTTGGTGTTACAATGGTAGGAAAAATAAAGAAACTGAAGAAGTCAGCATTTGTTGTATTAATTCTTCTCATCACAGCTAAACTGTAAGTTTTGCTTATTTAACATGGAGATTGTACTGAAAGCCTAATTTAGCCAGTTCCTTGGCATATGTCTGCAATTGTTTTCTCCCTTGCATAAACCAAAAACCAAACCTATTGCAGACTAGTCAATTCTGACTCATAGCAACCCTATAGGACAGAATAGAACTGCCCCCATAGGGTTTCCAAGACTGTAATCTTTATGGAAGCAGACTGCCACATCTTTCTCCTGAGGAGTGGCTGGTGGGTTCGAACTGCCGACATTTTTGTTAGCAGCTGAGCGCTTAACCACTGCACCACCAGAGCTCTGATATTAATCAGGGTCTGATATTAATAATCCTTGCATAGTCTGATATCAATAATCCTTCCTATGAGGTAGTTAGGACTTAAAGGAAAATGTGATGTTGATGTATTGTGAAAAGTCATTTCTTCATGCCATGTAGGTTATTCTTTCCATTTACTCTCAGAGGATAAAGATTCTTGGTTTTCTTCCAGCATTTACATCATTTTTCTTAATATCTCCTGACGATTCATTTTAATCATATTTTTAAAGGAATTCTGTAGGATTTCTGAGTTTTCTAAATCTATTAAAATCCTAAAGTCAAAACACCATAGTCATGATGAGAACAATAGTTTTGAATATAAATTGTATTTATTTCATGAATTTGGGGAAAACAGTCTGTAATTCTGACGTTGGCTGAACTTTCTCTGTATAGGTAGGTCAAAATGAATGATTATTATCAATCATCTGATCCTAGTCTAACCAATAAAGAGTTCTTATCAGCTTCTTAGTTAATAATTTTTCAGCTTACTTGGCTTATTAGTCATGGAGTTATACTTTACGGTGCAAGTGACATAATTTTACTATAAAATTATCCCAAGGCACATGGGACATAACTTTACTATCAAATGTAATATGAATGTAGTGTAAAATGATATATTATCTATATTTTCAAAATAATAAAAGTAAATATAAGTTCTGAAAGTGATATAAACCAGAAACCTATTGCTGTTGAGTCTATTCCAATTCATGGCAACTCCATGTAAGTTATTTAGGGTGGTGTTACACTCCTGGAAAGAAAGTATTGGTATTGCCATAGTAATAAATATATGTAGTTCTAACAATAATAGAATCATCAACATTGCCTTACAAGTAGAATTTAAATGTTCTTACTTTTTAATCCTTTGTTTCTTTGATCCTTGTTAGATCTTTTACTTTTTTCTTTTTTTCTCATTGAATTAAAAAAATACGTGTAAGATTAATCTCTACTCCATCCCAGACCATCTCTCTAGGTGCTGCTGTAACAATGTTATTGACCTTGGTCTTGATCTTTTTTAAGGAAACTGATAAGCCCCATTAGCTCAGATATAGTTGATATGCTCTTTGTATGGAATCCTGAAGGACTTGTTTAATAACTGACACTTCATCAGGACCTGATTTCACTAATTTTTTACTCCACCTCAGTTGTTTCAGCTCCCTTTGCTCAACCTTTTGTCTTTAAAAAAGATGAAGAGTTAATTGTAAGAGATACCTATTTTTCTGCTGGTTTTTAGAATCTTATTGAGCAGCATTATTATCATTAACTGAACCATTTAAACCTCTGATCATAATAAAGATCAGCATTTTCTTTTCAAAAAGTAGTTTAGTAATTTTCTTGAAAAAAGCTCTTATTCAACCTTTTTAAAAAATCTTTTAACAACGGACCAATAAAGAAAGCAAGAGACAGCAGCTGTAATTGTAACTTTTACCATTTTTTTGCAGGAAAATTATTTGTAGAACAGAAAAGAAATCAAAATTTTTTCTCCTAATCCCTGACATTTGAAGTATTTCTAGAATGTTGTTACTTTTTAAATGGCTCTAAGTTGAATTCTTGATGCTTTCAACAAAATGTCCACAAGTAGGCATGCACATAATACGTGCATACAAATAAATATACCTGCTGGGCAGGAGACAAGAATAACCGAATGCCAAGTTCACTAGGGCAATCTACTACCTGATGACCAGCGTGCGTTGACATATCGAGTGAATAATTTCTTGTTTCTTCAGCCTGGTGCTGCCACTTTTGTGCAGAGAAATGGTGGAAATCTTGGACAAGAGCAACAGTGGGGTCAACCATACAAGTTTGTCAAACTATGCATTTTTGTACGGTGTCTTTCCTGTAGCACCAGGAGTGGCTATCTTTGCAACACAGTTCAACATGGAAGTAGAGATTGTATGTATATATTGCTTTCTAAGTTTGATTGTGTGGTTAGTAGAAAAATGAATTTTTAAAATGCAGAAATCAGTATTCTTTTTATGAGAATTTATTATTCATAAACTACCTCATTATAAACAAGGAAGCATCATGCAACATACATAAAAAAAAAACCCAAAATCCATTGCCATTGAGTCGATTTCGACTCATAGTGACCCTATAGGACAGAGTAGAACTGCCCCATAGGGTTTCCAAGGAGCACCTAGTGGATTTGAACTGCCGACCTTTTAGTTAGCAGCTGTAGCTCTTAACACTATGCCACCAGGTTTTAATCTGGGGCTTTTATTCAGTCATGATTTTTTTCATTGGTCTTTTTTAGTTTCAACTATTTTATTACTATATTTATATTTAAGCCGATAAGTTATTTATAGAAGGTTAACTTTTGAAATTTTGAGGAAAAAAATCTGTTTCACTCCTTGATAACTCAACCACCAGATGCAAAATACCACATAATCAATTGCAGTAAATAGCTAAAATCAGTTATAACCAAATTATTAACAGGATCTAAATATATTGTATATGCTATCTACAGCATTAGAGTAAATGTTTTTGAAATATAGCATGAAACAACTAAATTGTTTTGTGAAGGTCTGTTCCATAATTTAATCTGTAAAATGTTTGCATAATAATTTTTTTCTTTTCGGATAGCTTTTGTAGCCCTATATTTTATGAAATAGTATGGAAAGAAACTGTTCATAGATTTTTTCATAGATCATTGTTATGACATGTTTTCATAGATCATTATTACCTTCTGGAACCTAGAAGAAAACCATCAGCAGTGGAATTTCCTAGTATTATGTGCAAATATAAAATTGAGCATAGATTGGAAGAGGAACTTAACTATGTTTACTTTTAAGGAATCTCAAAAAGAGGAAATATGGTATTGGTTAACCCTGCTAGATTCTATAATGTCTTTTTACTGAATTTTGCTTTTATTTTAGATTGCTTTAGTGTGCTGTGGCTAGAGTTTAAGGAAATTGTTTGAGATTATAATTCTTTTCCCAATTTGATATCGTTTTTGCAGATAACCTCAGGGATGGTAATAAGCACGGTTGTGTCTGCTCCAATCATGTATGTTTCTGCCTGGTTACTGACTTTTCCCACTATGGACCCAAAGCCATTGGCATATGCCATCCAGAATGTTAGTTTTGATATAAGTATTATCAGCCTAGTCTCCTTGGTAAGTAAGTTTCAGTATAAAAACGAGTCAAAACCACAGAATAATTATGGGAATAGCTTGGTAACAGAAAGTTAGGAATTTTTAAACCTAGTTTCCTATGAAATAGAGAACCTAAAGCCTGCTCATACAATGTAATATCAGCCTTCTGATTAGCTGAGTTTTGTCTTTCCAGTTGGAGTTAGAATGGTATAGTGAGCAAGGCATGAAATTTAGCCACACCCGGATTTGACTCTTGGCCCTACCACAAATAGCTGTGTCTCTGTGGAATTACTTTACCCTCTCTAGGCTTCAGTTTTCTCTATTATGAAATGGAGATAATAAAACCCGAAGGCCGTTGAGTTGATTCCAACTCATAGCAACCCTATAGGACAGAGCAGAGCTGCCCCATAGGGTTTCCAAGGAGCGGCTGGTGGATTCGAACCGTGACCGTTTGGTTAGCAGCTGTAGCTCTTAACCACTGGGTCACCGAGGCTCCATCAAATGGAGATAATACTTTTGTCTATTTCTGAGAGTTGTTTTGAAGATTAAAAGAGATGATATAGTGAAAAGTATTCTGTGAATACTAGCTGTTGTAGAATCATGGAGTTGGAAGGGATCTTTGAGATCAAGTCCAGATACCACTTAATGTTAATGAAATTTTAGGCTACTTCTCAAATTGGACATAGTTAGCTTAAACTAAATAATTAACCATTTGACAACTGGAGTATCTTATAGGTCAATTTGACTATTGAGATAAAACAATATTCTGGCTGAAAAAAAGATAATTTTTACTGTTAAATGTGGATGAATGTGTATATTGATAACAAAAGCATGAAAAATGTAATTTTTAAGAAATTTCACTTGTCACATATTCTTAAAATCTACACCCATTGACAGAGGGTAATTTGTAGAGAGGGACTATATAAATTTGGATTGGCAGTGAGGGAAGAAAGAAAGAAAGAAATCAACCAACGTACTTGCTTGGCCACTATGTAGGTAGAATAGAAACCCAATCCTTTTAAATATAAGGAATGCAAGATTAATCTTAGAGTGGGTGATGGTGTGTGTTGTTTGAAATACAACAGCTTGGAACTTTGATACTTCATGAGTCAATATGGTAGAAGTAGGAAAGGAAAAACAGAACAGTGCATTGTAACTGCATCTCTCACTAAAGCTCCTTTGCTAAATAGTTGGCTTTGAACCTGTGTCCCACCTAGCGACTGCGTGTGGTTAGAGTATGGCCCTGGTCAAGACATTAGGTCTTAAAGACCCTGTAATTTTTTAGCAGTTAATTTTCTGTGAAATCTCTTCAGGCTTTTAAATTTGCTTTGGATATATTAATTTACCTTAACACCCTTTTTTGGAACTAAACAGTTTAAAGTAAATGAAATACTACAATTGCCTTCTAAACCAGCATAAAGAAGATTCTTCAAAGAGGTGAATCAATGGGTTATCTAATAAGTACTTATGAAGATTAAGAAACCTAAATAACTTTTGAACCTTTTGTTTTTAAGATTTGGTCTCTGGCTGTTCTTCTTTTGAGTAAGAAGTATAAACAGCTTCCTCATATGCTTACAACTAATTTACTCATTGCCCAGGTTGGTAAACATACAGGTATTTAGAGCTATGTTTTTCTCATAGATTATTATAGAGGAGAAAATTAACTTTGCTGGGTTTTTCTAGTTATAAAGTCAGAAATAATGCCAAATGCAATCAATTAAAATTTGATCACAGTTAAATTATGCCTAATATATTAAATATTACAATACGTCTTGAACTATCTAAAGTTGAGGCTTATAATGGTATTTGATGATAACTTTGCATTTTTAATAGAAATAATTGAATCATTAAAAAATGAACTCTCACAGTGTTGTTTTTCTAGCTAAATCTTCATATATTTCAAATTATAATGGGAAGAAGTTTAGCATTTTCTATGTAAGTCATTACTAAACATAAGGTTAGTATTTAGATTCTAGTCATTATCTGTTTTAATTGAATATGTATATGGTTAAAGGGTTTTTTCATCATAAAAGTTAAATTTTTAGTATAATCAGTATACAATAGTTGATGATTAGTTAATAATTTCAAATGAATAGTTATAATATATTTGCTATGAATAGAATATATATGAATGTGGCTAACTTAATAGTTACTTTCTGTGGTAGTATTGAATAGTATGGTTTTTTTTTTTTTACTCCTTACTCACAAAGTTTTTAATAATTTTTTCTTTAGTCTATTGTCTGTGCTGGAATGATGATATGGAATTTTGTTAAAGAAAAAAATTTTGTTGGACAGATTCTGGTGTTTGTTCTATTGTATAGCTCCCTGTATAGCACGTACCTGTGGACAGGTAAGTTGGATCACGAATGGAAATTTCGTTCTGTTCCCCCTCTCCCCATTCATTAGAAGCCCTCAGCATGTAGTGATATATTTGAAGTGTAATAGTTCACAGTTGGAGCCCCGGTGGCACAATGGTTAAGAGCTCGGCTGCTAACTAAAAGGTTGGCAGTTCGAATCTACCAGCTGCTGTTTGGAAACCCTGTGGGTTCTATAGGGTTGCTATAAGTTGGAATCAACTCGATGGCAATGGGCTTTTTTTTTTTTAGTTCAGGCTTAAAGGTGCCCTGGTGGCATAATGATTAAGCCCTCGGCTACTAACCAAAAGGTTGGTAGCTTGAACTCACCCAGCGGCTCTGCAGAAGAAAAACCTGGCTATCTTTTCCTATAAAGATTACAGCCTAGAAAACCCTATGGGCCAGTTCTACTCTGTCACATGGAGTCACTATGAATTGAAATTGACTCGAGGACACCTAACAACAGCACCAGTTCAGAATTAAGGTACTCACTCAGCTAGTTAAACCCGCCAAGGCAGGCAGTGTGCATAGCTCATTTCCTTTCTTGATGTGCTCTGTTTCTTCATGGGCTCAGGTAGTTCTCCAGCCACATGGTCCTTTTCCCCAGGGCCTTCTGCTCCAGGCCACTGTCAGCACAGCTCCTCTTTGGAGACTCCAAGAGGGCAGGCACTAGCGGCAGGCAGAGGAAGGAGGGAATGGACAGAGATGTGTGTAGAGATGTGGCCCAGCGCTCACCGTACAGTCCAGCTGAACAGAATAAAAAGTTCTAGCTCTGCCTTAAGCAAATTACTTAGCTTTTAGGGCCTCAGTTTCTTCATCTGTAAAACTGGGTTACAACATCTTATTGAATTATTTTGAGAATTAAATGAAATATGGGTATTTATGACTGCTACATGGTAGGCACTCAACAAAATGGAAACATATAATTACTAAATAGAGGAAAAAGAGAGAATCAGAGAACAAGAGAAGTAGGGGAATAAAAGGGAACTACGAAAGTACCCAGTGAAAAAGACTGTTTCTCCCTTTAACCAGCTCCAAAAAGGGTATCAAAAATGTTTTAGCACACTGGCTATATTGAAATATAACACTTATTTAGAGGCATACACTCTGATATATCTGTGAAAAATTCTGTCTGGCTATTTTGTGTAAAATGGCATAGAAAAGGAAATTTAGGATAGAGTGATAGTACTAGTTACAGCCGCTGTCAGGAGACAAGTGGCAGGAAGTGGCTGCGACTGGCCAGACCTTTGATTTCACGCCTTCAGGATCAAAAGCAGGGCCCACCCGAGTCAGCGGCCTTTTGAAGTGAGGCAACAGTGTGGTGAGGAATCTCAGAATGAAAATCTCAGTGCTTTTTAAAGGCAAGTATACCTTGCATGAAAGTTTTCATGAGATGTCAAGTTGAAAGAGACTGAAGACTTTCTGTTTCCAAATATAGATGAACCAACCTGATCTCTAATACTTAGGCTTATTAAGGCTAAATTTATAATAATAAGAGGGCCGCAAACAGATCGGTATGTCAGAAAGCCGCAAGTCTCTCTGAATCCCTCTTCAAACAGGCATGTGGAGATCTACCCAAAGAAGTTGTTCTGAATTCCCTGACCCTATGAAGGAGCCCCTTTAATTGTCAAATTATTATGCTGTAACAGAATTTTAAACTTAAAGTGTCATTTTAAATCATCCTATCAGCCCTTTCCAAATTTCACATTTGTATACCATCCTCACAATTTTTGCCATGTCTGTCTACCACATCTTTTTTTTAAAATTGACTCACCTTTTTTTAACCTCAGTTTAACCTTATATTAGCAAAATTCTAGGTTTTGTCTGTTAGTTAAAATTTTTTTCAAATACACGTTAAAATAAATGCATTAACTAGTCAAAGAATTTTCATCTTTGCTACCTATAGTCTCTACACTTCAGGAGACACTGGTCTAGTTTAAATCCCTTATTTTGTAAATTAGGAAAATAAGGCCCAAAGAGTTTAAATGATTCAGCCAGGACCTCTCACAGCTTTGTCAGCAAGAGAGCTAAGGCTAGATTCTGACTGTTAGTATGATTCTTCACGAGGCAAGAATCAGGAACGTGAGAATTGTGAGCAGAGCCCTTGCTACTGTTACATAACCGGCACACTTTTGTGGTTGGTCACTTGTTCCCTGGCACTGTGAAAACCTGAAACCATAGAGTGTGCAAATATACTGAGGGAGGAGCAGTGGTAGTATAGTATTTCTTGAACTTGAATAAGAGTTCTTGTGTGGGTCCCTCGTAAAGGAAAAAAATTCTCAAGGACCCCAGTGTTGATTTAAATTATTTTTAGCAGTGTTTCTTAATCTGACTCGATGGTACCTAACAGCAACTTAATCTGTACAATCGTAAGTGTAGGTGTGAGCTCCTTATATACAGCTAACATACAAATATAAAACCAAAACAAATTCACAGATTAAATTCAAACAACACTACATACCCAGTAATTCTAATCAGCAACATTAATTGACATGACAAATGATCTTGTTTTGCTAATCTAAATCACAGCTTGAAATGTAAACTAGAAGTACTACTCTGGTGCAGTTTGTTTTTAGTTTGACCTGCCTTTATATCCAGGTGCAGGGTTATGACTTGATTATCTCACTGCTTTTCAATCTTCAAACTACCACAGAACCTCTGTTTGGATCGTGTGTAGTATCATTTGGCCTTCACTTGGCTCAAACTTAATATAAACACAAATATAAGCCCTGAAATCATGATATGGTACTTTGATTATAAGGTGGGTATCTAGATAATTATCACTGAAAATAAACCAAAAAGACTTAAAATTTCTCATAGAAAGTATCCAGATCCTGAAGAGTATGTTTTAGGAACCGCAGGGGTCCATGGATCTGAGTTCAAGAAACACTGATAGCTTTGAAGGATCACGTCCCTTGCTATGAGATGACTGGTTTCTAGTCCTGCTCTGCCCTCCACTGGTGGTGATATGGAAGCTTTTGTTTCCCTATCTATAAAATGAAGCAGTTAATTTTAAACAGTGGTCTCTTCCAACCCTCGAGTTCTGAGATTCTATGGCTACATAAACCAACCAAACCCATTGCCCTGGAGTCGATTCTGACTCGTAGCAACCCTACAGGACAGAGTAGAACTGCCCCATAGAGCTTCCAAGGCTGTAAATATTTATGGAAGCAGACTGCCACATCTTTCTCCCACAGAGTGGCTAGGGATTTGAACCACCAACATTTCAGTTAGCAGCCGAGCACTTAACCACTGCACCACCAGGCCTCCTTATAGCTATATAACCAAAACCAAACCAAACCCACTGCCATCGAGTCGATTCTGACTCAGTGACCCAATAGCAACCCAACAGGACAGTGTAGAACTGTCCCATAGGATTTCCAAATTGCAGATGAAGGATTCAAACTTCGGTTTGCAGCCAGTCTCTTAACCACTGTGCCACCAGGGCTCCTTATAGCTATATAGACTTTATTAAATAAAAATGTTACTTGTATAAATAATTGGGTGTAAGGAAGATTTAAGAACTTTAAAACATTTGTGTTTGTATTAAGTTCGTTTTGTGCTTGTATTAAGCTCCATCATTTAGACTTTCACAATTTCCAATAATATAACCTGCCATATGTATAATTGCCTATATTTCTTGGCAGTATCAGTGTAGGTGTGTTTTTATCTGTATCTAGTTTTTAAAATTTTTAAATATGCTTAGATAGATTCCAAACACATAAGCCAAAAGAATAAAATGATTTGGGCTTTTGAAAAAATCCTTATAAACAGGAAGATTTGAGTTAAAAAAAATAGTACAGGAGGGAAAACATGAATGTTTTTGAATTAAAAAAAACTTGCTTCAAAATATTGGGAACAGCTATTTTTTTTTTTTTTTTTTCCTCAAGTCTGAAAACTTTTTTTTTTTAATTGTATTTCCGGTGAAGGCTTACAGAACAAATAGTTTCTTATGAAACAGTAGTACACATATTGTTTTATGACACTGGTTAAGAACCCCACAACATGTCAACCCTCTAACTTCTCAACCTTTTTTTT